GCCTTGAGCTGCTCAAAGAGGTGGTCGATGACAAAGCGCTTGGATGGCGCAGCCGCCGCGACGAAGGGCACGATTTCATTGCACATCGCAAGCGACGCGGCGGCGTTGGTCCAAAACGCACTCGACTCGGCGGCCGCGTGCCAGTCCTTGCACACATACACGGAGCTGCGATAGACGTCGGCAGCCGATCCAACGTACGCCAAGATGACTGGAAGCAAACTGCTCAGCTCTGCGCTCCAAGTACGCGGCAGCGCTACATGCGCATGGTTCGACGAGACCTCGTCCGCTGCTTGCATCGCTCGATCTGGAGCAATCGATTCCCGCCGTTCCATTGGCTGAAACCGATCAATCAAAAGGCAGTATGGTCCGTGGACCAATGAAACAGCAACAGGGTTGATGACGATGGCCCTTTGACCGACTTGACTTGAATGACCCTTGCTTTGCCGCCGGAGGCTCGAGTCGTGACGTACTTGGTAGCCACAACATGGACATCCGTTTGATGCAAGAGGTACAAAGCGCAATTGGATGTTCTTTTGTTTTATAACATGGGACTAGCACTCAGGTAGACAAGCTAACGCTTGAGGCTCTGACAACAAAGCTGAGCAGCTTAGTAGTTGAGAACGACGGTGGCGTCGGGCACGGGATGCACGAGGTATGTGGCCGAGACATTGGCGACCTTTGCACCGTAGTGGCCAGCCCATGTCGATGAGTCGCGTCCGAGCCACTCCACAACGAGTTGGGTGTCGGTGGCTCTGACGTCTTCGAGGCTCACGCAACGTGTGGTTTGACTCCACAGGACCCCGCCGCATGATGAAATTCCTCGACAAAGAGGAGGGTGGTGGATGGATGGCTGCGTACGATCAATTGCCAGCGTACGTTTTGATCAAAGCGCGGAGCTGTGCAGAGCCGGATCTGCAGAAATGGCAGCGACGGCGGCGGTCGAGCAATAGTCTGTCCAAGGCGGCAATAAAAGTATGTCGATGCGTAGCAGCTTTGGATGCAAGGTGGCGCACGCGAGCCGACGAGGTTGCGGTAGCGTGGGTCCTCGGGGTTTGTCACGTCGTTGCTGGCGTTATCGCGGTACTCGACCACCAAATTCGGGTTGACCTCCCATTGCGCCAGCTTGAGTTGCTCCAAAAGATAGTCAATTACGAAACGCTTGGGCGACGCGGCTGTTGCGACCAGACGTGACGTGTCGTTGCCGTTGGGAAGCGACGCGGCGACGCCCAGCCAGTACTCGCTCGAGTCAGCTGCTGCGAGCCACTCCTTGCACGCATAGACTGAGCTGCGGTAGATGTCGGAGGCCGACCCGGCGTACGACAGGATGAGCGGGAGCAAGGTGCTGAGTTCTGCGCTCCATGAGTGCGAGAGCTCCATGCGGACGCCGCTCGACGAGAGCGCGGTGCTGATGGCATGTGTCATTTCGTTGTGCTGCAGGCTCACGCACAACCAAGCGGCAATCATGAATGCAGCTCTTTTATATAGCACGAGAGTGAAGGTTCCTTGGAAAGCAATCTTTCATCAGTATCTCGGGCTCTACGTGTCTGAGGACGGAGCGGCCGAGTGCTTCATGTCCTCTAAAGAGTCTTCTAGCGATCTGCCAAGTTATAGCGTATTTCACTTCAGACATTAACAATACCGTCACGCTGCATTTGACGAGGCGCAGTGGTATTATACAATTGTAGCACCCCTGATTTCGCCCTGGCGTCGGCGCGTTGGCGGCGTTGGTCGACACGCATTGGCCAAAACGAATAAAATGGGACCAATAAAAATGATGTATCATGTTTTTAATAGCCAATGGATGCATCGACTGTACTGTACACCTACCCGCGATTTCCTCGATCCTCAAGGCGACTTGGTCACCCACCGGCGGATGTGGTCACGCTCCGTGTCACGGGCGCGTCGAAGCGCATGCGAGTCGAGCGGATGGCTAAACATGAGGTCGAGGTGATGCGCGCCGTTGCGGATGAGAAGCGCCACGACCGAGTCGCTCAAGGACGTTGTAAAACCCGTCGGGTACCACGGGTCCAAATCCCCGTTGCTAAAGACAATGTTGCTCGACTGCCGGAACGCGTCGGTGCCGCCAAACACGATCGACGGCCAGAACGGCCGCACGTGCACGCCCCAATTGGCGACGCACGCCGCGTCATCGGTCGTCGCGTTGTGGATCTC